ACAAACTTCCATAAATCAAGCCAGTGTGTATTGGCATAAAAAGGAGCATATTGATCAGTGGAATAGAATTGAGAGTTTACATTTATAATCCCTGATTTTCAACAAGAGTGCCAGGGCAATTCAATGAGGAAAAGAATAGTCTTTTCAACAAAAGGTGTTGGGACAGCTGCCCAATAATGGCCACATGAAAAGAATGACTTCAGACCCCTCCCTCATACTGTGCACAAAAATTAATTCAAAATGGATTAAAGGCCTAAATATAGACGCTAAAACTCTTAAACTGATAAGAAAATATAAAAGTAACATAAAAGTAAATCTTGGATTAGGCAACAGTTCTGTCTCATATTTGGTTCCAAAAGCACAAGCAACGAAAAGAAAGAATATATAAATTGGACTTAATCAGAACTAAAATTAAAATTTTTGTACTTCAAAGAACACCAACAAAAAAATGAAAAGTCCAGCCACAACCTAGGAGAAAATGTTTGCAAGTTATATACCTGATAAGAGACTTGCATTCGAAATGTATACAGAACTGTTATCATTCAACAAAAGAAAGACAATCCAATTTAAAACGGCAAAACGTTCCAACTGACATTACCCCAAAGAAATGGCCAATAAGTACATGGAAAGATGCTCAACATCATTAACTACAAGGAACATGCAAATCAAAACCACAATGAGATACCATGTCACTGTCACTAGGATGGCTATAGTTCAAAAGAAAACAGGCAATAACAAGTGTTAACAAGGATGAGAATAAATTGAAATCTTTGTATATTGTTGGTGCTAATGTAAAATGGTGCAGTTTCTCTCAAAAACAGTTTGACAGTTCCTCAAAGTGTTAAGCACACAGTTACAATGACCCAGCAATTCTACTCCTAGGTACTGAATTGAAATTGGAGAATGAAATATAAGAAATGTGAGTGAGACTTGAAAATATATATCCACACACAAACTGGACATGAATGTTCAGTGAACCATTATTCATAATAGGCCAAACATGGAAACATCCTAAATGTCCATCCAGTGAATGGATAAACATAATGTGGTTTATCCATGTAAGTAAAGACCATTCAACAATAAAAAGGAATGAAGTATTAATATGTGTGACAACAACATTAAACCTTAAAAACATTTTGCTAAGTGACAGAAGTAAGTCACAACTGACCACATGTAGTATGATTCCATTAGATGAAATGTTTGTAGAGACCAGAAGTAGATCAATAGTTGTCAGGGACTGGGGGGGGAGGAGGTAGTGGGGACTGAGTACTAAGGGGTATGTGATTTCTTTTGGCCATGATAAAGATGTTCTGGAAATAGTTAGTGGTGATAGTTGCACAATTTTGTGAATATGCTAAAAACCACTGAACTGTACACTTAAAAATAACCTAAAAATGACATAGTAGTTAGAATGGGGAAAAAAATCATTGAGAGAGAAGCAGGATTGCTACAGGCACTTCATCAGAGAGGCCTTGTGGAGCTCGACAGGTGATAGAGAGTAATCTAGCATGTCCCGGTGAGGGGCGGAGACATGCCTTACCAGGTTATGATGACAGGTGCGCCGAGTCCCCCACAGGCAAGCGGGCTGCTAGAGGACCTGCCTCCTCCAACTCTTCCCAGGTCGTCTGGGCTATGAGTTAGTCTCGTGAAACTTTAAGATAGCACAGGAGGGAGTCACTGATAAAACACACAAAGAAAGGCCCAGAAAACCCTTGCTTACAAAGTTTGGTATGCCAAGTGAGTGTAAGGTGGACCAGGCCAGTGCAAAGGACTCCTGGTCTCCTTCAGCCCCTGATGAAGATGAGGTTTCCATCCAGGAACTGGATACAGTCCACTCAGGCCGTTACAACAGAATACCTAGACTGGGCGGCTTATAGACAACAGAAACTTATTTCTCACAGATCTGGAGGCTAGAAGTCCAAGGTCATGACTCTGGCCAATTCAGTGTCTGGTGAGGGCTGCTTCCTGGTTCCTAAACAGCTGTCTTCTTGCTGTGTCCTCACATGGCAGAAGGGATGAGAGGGCTTTATGGCATGTCTCTTGTAAAGACACTAATGCCATGATTAGGGTTCCACCCTCTGACCTAATCATCCCCCCAAATCCCATCACATTGGGGATTAGGTTTCAGCACACGAATTTGGAGGGGCACAAGCACTCAGTTGATAGCACAGACCTTGTTTCTGCTTTTTACATGCTGTAGAAACGTACTTCCTTTGTGGTTTGCCCCCTGTTAATTACATTAGATTCAGGACGGCCCCTTTTGTGGTTTATTTAAAATACAGAAAAAAAAAAGAAAAAGAAATGAAAAAAGGCACTGGAGATACAACGGTGAATCACACGGATCCAAAGCGCCATCCTTGTGGAACTTACATTCTAATAAGTAAATGCCAAGCCTTTCATCGGGGGCTTTATGTACCCTTATCAAGTTCTTGTGACAGCCCTTACGAGATGGCTACTGTTGCCGTCCCCATGACTGGTGAGGAAAGCTGAATAGAGCTCAGGGAGGCCTCATTACACATCTAACCTTGCACTGCAAGGGGACAGCCGCAATTTAAACCCAAACGACTGACTCTAGGAACCAAGAACTTACCCACAGTGCTCACGGTTCCCAAACTGTGTGCCAAGGGACCCCAGAAAGCCGTGGGGAAGTGCTCCGGCCCGCGGAGCAATCAACTGGGGCTCGACCACCTACCTAGAACAAATGAGTTGGGGGGACAAGAGGCACGAAGAATGGCAGCAAGACAAAAGATTCTGATCAAGCTGCAAACTTTATTTTTCCAAACTGGGTATATATATAGGGGGGGAGGGAGAGGAAGGAGATTAGGTTGCTTGCTATTGGCTAGCTTGAGACAAAGAAGGGCCCGCTTATTGATTACTCTGGTGCAACTGGTACTCGTGGACACCTCATGTGCCTGTAGCTGATTGGCTTGTGGAGCGCATGCACACCTCATGTACCTGTAGCCGATTGGCTTGTGGAGCGCACAGGTTCCTGTAATCAATGCAATGTTTTTAGCTAGAAGCCAGGTGTGAGGTTCCCAACAGGGAAGTAGAGCCCGCAGCGGGAGCGACGTACCAGACATCACAGGAACTCCCGCGGGTAAGTCGTTTGGAGCTAACCTAACAAGTAAAGCCTTCAGGTATTTCTTTTGATGTAGCACCACTGTGAAATATTATGTTTTTGGTAAATACTATGCTAAAGGCACTGTGAACTGAGAAAGTTTGGAAACTTCTGTACAGTGCTACTGCTCATTTAAATATGTACCTGTTCCAGGCCACGTGCTCTTTGGCACACACTAGGCACAACAACAATGTTTTCTTTTTAAGATTTTATTTTTTATTTACTTATTTATTTTTAGAGCGAGAGGAAGAGAAGAAGAAAGAGAGGGAAACATCAATGTGCGGCAGCCTCTTACACCCGGAGCTGGGGACCTGGCCCACACCCCAGGCCTGTGACCCAACTGGGAATCGAATGGGCAGCCCTTTGGTTTGCAGCCCGAGCTCAATCCACAGAGCTACGGCAGCCAGGGCTCTTTTTAAATTTTTATTGCTTTTTTTTGAGAGAGTAAGAGATAAACATCAGTTGTGGTTCTATTTGTTCATGCATTCATTGGTTGATTCCTATATCTGCCCTGACTGGGGATTGAACCAGCAACCTCAGTATATCAGGACAGTGCTTCAACCAACTGAGCTATCCAGCAAGGGCCCAAAAATATGAGTTGAATGATGAAAGAAGAGTAATGAATGAACAACGAGTAGAATAGAAGTCAATGGGAGATGTTTGTGTGACTCAAAGCCAAGATATAAGTAAGTAGCAGGGAAAAGAAAGGGCAGAAGAGGGTGCAACATTTGGGGAATAGAAATCATGAGGGGAATATAACACAAAGGCAGTATAGTGAGGAGGTAAAGCCTGTGTTCTCTGAAACCAGACTCCCTGGCTTCGAGTCCCAGCTCTCCCACACACTAGCTCTATGATCCTGAACAAGCAACTTCACTTCCCTGGACCTCAGTGTTCTCATCCATGAAATGGAGTTAAAATAAAATGGTTGGGACAGATTAAATGAGTCTACATGAATAGACTGTTTAGAATAGTGTCTAACACATGGTAATTGTTATACCGGTGCTGTCTGATATCATTATTTGGGTTCTATTTAATGAGGTTTATTTTTTCTTTTTTTTTTAAATATACTCTTTAAAAAATTTTAAAGGATTTATTTATTTATCTTTAGATGGGAAGGGAAGGAGAGAGGGAGAGAAATATCAATGTGTGGTTTCCCCTTGTGCGTCCTCTGCTGGGAACTGGCCTGCAACCCAGGCATGTGCCCTGACTGGGAATTGAACTGCGATCCTTTGGTTTGCAACCCCGTGCTCAATCTACTGAGCTACACCAGCTAGGGCCAGGTTTATATTTTTTTTCTAAGAGGACAGGAGAATAGCCAAGTTGGTGGCAGCTAGAGTGACACGTTGCCCTAGTTTGCCTGAGATGAAGAGGTTTGCCTGGAGATGAGACCTGCTGTGCTAAAACTGGGGAAAGTCCTGGGCAAATTGGGACAAGTTGGTTCATCTCTTCATTCCTGCAGGCAGTTTGACTGAAGGCTTGTTCCTGGTTCGGGAGGGGTCACTTCCTTGGCAGGTCCAGAGCAGGCGACCGTGAGGGATTCAGGTGGTTTCGTGGCTGAACAACAGAAGGCAGGAAGTGTGCAACTTGAAGCAGGAAGGCATAGATGGTTTAGATTTATATCAGTATTGCTTAAAACACAGGAGAAGACCCATCACTGTCTACCTCTACAAGGTATCATGTTGCTCAGAATGTCTGCCAGAGTTTTAGGAGGAAAAAGTATATTTAATTAAAATTTATAGATAATTGATATGACTCAAAGATTATTGAATCATGTGAATACATGTACCAAAAAGTCTTCCTCCACTCCTGTCCTCTGGTCAGTCAGCTCCCAACGCAGCAAGGCCATCCTTCCTTCTTGAGCCACGTACAAGAAAATACAAGTATGCGTTCACATCAGATGACCTTAAAGGTGGATGCAAACAACCATTCTAAGAAATGGGCAACTGAGAGCCAATCTCGCAAAGACTTTGGGGTCTACCGAGAAACTGAGGTTTGAGCTCTGTGGGCCTGAGGGTGAGACCCTAAGAAGTGGTGACGACATCAAAGCCCAGCCTTCACAGGTGACATCTTTGTCCCACCACTCTCATACTTTCACATAAGGACTGGCATTCTTAATTATTTCATTGTTAAGAGTCACAGCCACTTTGATATGGATTGGCTATGAATCTTATATTTTCAATATTTTTCAATATTTTTGTTGGTGTGCATTTAATTTTTGTTCCCTTTGTCATATTACTGGTTCAGGATGTTTGACAACCACCCCCTGAGATAATATCACTCTCCCCAGTCATCTCAGATTCTGACTGGTGGTTTTAGTTTTGTTATGACTAGTTCTATATTTAGGCGCATGTCGATTCTGCTGCAAAAGCTGTGCAGGACAGAGAAGGAAGATGCTGAAGGCTTGGGCTGGGTTCACCCAACATTCATTCTGACCCTCTGCCCCTGATGTCATCACCCCTCACGCTTCTGCTTGCTATTCTTATGTTCTCTCTCTCTTTCTCTCATTTTAAAGCCTCACCCAAGGATGTTTATTGATTTTACAGAGAGAGGAAGGGAGGAAGGGAGGGACAGAGAGAAAAGAACATCAACGTGAAAAAGAAATATCAATTGGCTGCCTCTCGAAAGTGACCTGATTGGAGATTAACCCCGCAACCCAGGTATGTGCTCTGACCAGGGATCAAAACTGCAACCTTTGGTGCACGGGATGATGCTCAACTAACTGAGCCACTGGCCAGGGCCCCTCTCTCTTTTTCTATGTTTAACTCCTTCTTACATGTCAAACTTCCATTTGAGTTGACCTACATTCTGAATGCATTGCCTTCTTCATAATTTTGTTGAATAAGGGTCAGCTTGTAATAAACTGTTTTTGTTTCTATACAAAGGTCTTTGTTGCCCTCTTTATTGAAAGTCATTTTCACTGGGAAATAAATGTAACTCTGTATTGGCAGCTATTTTCTTTCAGCACACAGAAAATATCATCTCTATTAAATGTCTAGCAGACCTTATTAGTCTATATTCCATGCCTATTAACCTCTCTTCCATTTTTCCCCATCTTTTTTTCCTCTAGCTATGTTCTGAATTTTTTTGTATAATCCCATTGTTTACCCCATTTACTGAATTTTTAATTTGAGGGGGATGGGTGGAGGTGGAGGAGGGTATAGGGGGATAAATGGCAATTGAAAAAATACAATAAAATATAAACTGTTAAAATAGTTATTGCCCTTGCTGGTGTAACTCAGTGGGTTCAGCACGGACCTGTGAACCAAAAGATCACGGTTCGATTCCCTGTCAGGGCACATGCCTGGGTTGCAGGCCAGTTCCCAGCAGGGGACACACAAGAAGCAACTATACATTGATATTTCTCTCCCTCTCTCCTTCCCTTCCCTTCTAAAGATAAATAAATAAAATAAAATAAATAGTTATTAAAGGCTAAAATTGTTTAAAATTCAAGTTATTAGTTTATTTCCCAACATTCAATTTAGTTTCCTTCTCAAATAAGTTAGATAACATTTTACATTTTCTATGTCTGTAGACATTGTCAAGCTCGTGTCTAATAATTTCAATACCATCATTATTAGTGGTTCTTTTTCTACTTTCCGTTTTTTCTGCTTTTTCACTCATAATGCCTGATTTCCTTGGGTGCTTGGTTATTTTTGCCTGTGTTCTTGTCATTGCTTTTGGAAAAGGATGTGCCAGTGTGGTTGGAGGCCAAGCACGAAGGTGCTCCTTCTAGAGAGGACTTATCTTCGTTGCCATATAAACCGTTCTGTCAGTCTAGGGTTACTTTGTCCCAGATTCTCTGCTTGAGGCTCCTTAGGACTACCTATAGATATAATTTTGAAATAAAAATCTTCATGAGGGCCACTTTGTGCTTAAAAAAATATATATATATATATATCTGAATTGGGTTTCCACCCCTCCCTGCTCAGCCCAGCATTAAGTCAACTTCCCTTGCATTCCCCTGGGGTTGGGGTTGGGTTGGTTATATTTCTGGTTCAGTCTGACTCTGGGGTTCCTCCTCACTGTGCGGGTTTTCATCCCCTTCTGGGTTGGACTTGAGGCTTTAATTTTCTTTTCACCCAACAAATATGAGTCAACTGGGGTTGACAAAGAACCTCAGGATGTAAGTGGCTTCTGCCCTCCTTTCCCTGGTTTCTTGCTTTCGCTTAGCTATCTTTTTCATTTGTCAGATCATCTTTGTCTTAAGAGATGTATTTTCATGTTTTATCCAGTATTTTTAATTGCTGTCTGTGAAAGATTTGATCCAAATAACCTAGCTTTCCATTATGAAAAAATAGCAGCATAATCACCTGTTTTTTAAGCACTTGCAGACTTTTCTATCATAGGCATAAACCAAAGTAATTTAACCACTCTCCTGTGGTGGACATTTCTTTCTAATTTTTTTTGATATGGTAAATAATACTTCAATGAACGAATTTCTACATCAACCAGTCTGTGGTACTTTGTTATGGCAGCTTTTGCAAATGAATATGGCTAAGGATGATTGAGGAATTGTTCATGATATCTGGTTTTACATTGTGTAAAGCTCTGTGATAAAGAAAATACAGTGGATGGAAACTTATTTTGATAACTGCCTCACCTGTCTCTCTACTCTGTTTATGTTAGTATACTTCTTAAGGAATCTACAAAGTCATTCCATTTTTGAGATAAATGAAAAACTTTTTGTGAAACTTTTAGATCTGTGACATTTTCTTATTCTTGCTTTTTATAAAAGCATTATGATATTAAATGGCATGACAGTGAAACTGGAGTATTTATGACTTTGATTAAATTTAGCTTTAAGTCTTAGTTCTAGAAATTAATTCTCCCTCTCGCTATATATTCAAACCCCTGAGACCTAGCCTTTCCTCATAATCAGCAACCCCGAAGGCAGCAGAAGACAGTAGCTGAGACCTGACTGATGGTTACATGGTCTGGACCTCTGCAGGCTGAAGACAACATCTTTGACCTAAGTTATGTTTCAGCTTCCGGGGTGAGCTGTCTCATGAACCCAGATGAAGGGATGCTCGAACAGACCTCAGAACTGTCCACAAGACCAAAGAAATGATTTATTACCCCTACCTCACCTCTGACCACTCAGCTTCCAGCATGACCCCGAACCCCCCAATCCATGGAGTTTTGCAATTTTGTCCTGTGCAATCTGTAACCTACAATGTGCCATCATTGGGGAGCTTGGGCCTTTCAGCACTAGTTTCCTGTTCTTCTGGTTGGCACCATTCACAATAAAGTAGCCACTATTTCTCCACCACAATTCTCTGCTTAGTGCTCGACTCTGCTAAGGCTGAGTGGACGAACTCTCTCTTTTTGATAACAACAGATGTACTCGTGTGGATAACTAGTGCTCTTTCAACATGATTGTGTTAGTCCGGGGCAAGGCTTCACTTCTCTGTGCACCATTTTCCTTCATAATGAAGTGGAGTCCAAATTGGCCCTTGGTTTCTGGGACACGGAGACATTCAAATATGAATGCCTCACTGAATGACTGGTGCTCAGCATGGACCAACTGCACATGCTTCTGTGGAGGAAGGCGATCAGAGAGCCCCACCCTTTCTCTGAAGGCTCGTTTCCAGACCAGCCTCCAGATTGGGCAAGCCAAGATTTTTGAACTCCCTGTTGTGTCTTTCAGTAGATGAGGGTAGAATTTGGCCCAGAAGGCAGTGACTGACAGGAGATGCATGCTGGGACTGTCAACAGAAAATCTGTTTACTAGCGAATTGAAGAGCAGCCCTTTCTGGTACAATTTGCAAATGATTTACATAGGTTTGCTGAGATAGAAAAATAACTTCTATTTGCTTAATAAAATTTTCTAATATTTACATTACAGACTACTTCTGATAAGAAAAAAAATCTAATATTTTGCATTTTTTGAGGAGGGTTTTGAAAAATCTTTATTTGATGTTCTTCTGGCCCAAGGAATTTACTGGTGTTAAGCATGGAGGGAAAAAAGCTTGGGGCTTGGGGTGTGTTTTTCTTTTATAAGTTGAATTTAATGGCCTCAGGTCATATTCTGTAGGCCTATGCTTTGGATACCCATTCAAATGACTGAAGGCCTGGTTAAAATAATTTCTTGTTAAATCACTTATATTATCCACATGCCTAATTGCCATACCTATGTTCTCCTAGAACCCATCACAGTTCTGCACGCATTAAGTGACTGTGCAAACTGTTAGAAATGCACAAGAAACAGAGGCAGGAGGAACCTGAATATCTGGTCCAAGCGCCTTTATTTGATGCCTGCTTACAGCAGGCCAAGTCGGGATGGATCACAGCATTGGGGGAAGGCAAGAGTGGGATTTTTAAAAGAAAAAGCGTGGGGTCTGTGAGGGGATAGGGAGGGGTTAGTCTCTTGTTCTTCTGGGTGGGCATCTCAGAGTTTCAGGATGTGAGCCAGGACAACAGGTTAGGTGAAGGGAGGGCTGTTCCCAGGTACAGGAGGGTCAGTCTGACCGCAGGCCACTGTGGCTGGGACCAGGTGTCTGTCATGCACCATGGGAGAGACTTTATGATTAAGCTGCAGGCTACCAAGCAAGTCAGGACAATCGAGTCCCGGGCAGTCCAGAGGGTTGGAAACAGGCCTGACAGGGTCATTAGCAGTCTGGGGGTTGGGGAGCTGGCTTGACACTTTCACAAACTTAAATGTAAAAGACAAACAAACTTCATGTACTTCATTTAAAAAAAAGGAAAGAAAACACACCGTAGCCTAACCAAATAATTTGAGATTTCTCTCAAATTTTTTATACCTTTACATGCTATAATGTAAATTTGAATAGGAAATCTATAGAAGTATTGTACATAACAATAATATTTGTTTTTTATTTTTAAAATAATTTCAACATTACTCTAAAGTTGCAGGAATAGTTCCAACAGTGCCCATATGTCCATTGATCGGAAAGCCTATTCAAGTTTTCATCAGTTGTCCTAGCAACGGCCTTCATAGCAAAATGGCCAAATACAGTATCAGTTGTTGCC